TATGGATCTTTTAAGAGTCTAATAAAATAATTATAAAAGATCCAAATTAATTCCACAATAATGTAGATGATGACGATGATAAAGATGATAATCCAACTCTTTCTGGCTGCACATCCGCCAGCAAGAGAGACGTTAGGTGATGCAAATTTATCTTCTCATGTAGGAAGAAGAGTAGAAGTATCCCCCGAAGACTTTGACTTGTCCAAGTCTTTTAGAAACCTACCACGGGATGAAATTCCAGAAAGTGATGACAAAATTTTGATTTGGGTTTAGGAGGTGAGACAATTTTCTACACTTAGGGTTGGACTACCTGAATAAGCCAAAGATATCGGGGCCAAACTTTAACCTGAATTCTTTTTTATTATTAATAAAATAAAATTAAAATCATGTAAAAATTGGAAATCTTAATTTTAAAATAAAATTGAAATTGACTTAAAAATAAAATAATATTAAAATTTTGAATATTTATGTCTGGCCAAATAAATCAAAAGTTAGATGAGTGTTTAGGATCAAGTTTAGTTATATGAATTTTTTCATATGTTCAGCCATTCAAGTATTTTAAATCTGATTTAAATAAATCTGGTTCCAATAAATTTTGATTCATTCAAATTACTAGCTTTAAATAGTATTTTATTTATCTTCGACAAAAGGAAAAAAAAAGTATTATCTTATCCTACTGAATCTTGTCTTGTTGGTGGGGCCAATTCATAAATTGTGGGGACACAAAATCTATGTCATGTACTAATTAATGCCTTGTTAGCTCTCTGGAATCGTCCATCAGAGAGAATTACCATCACATAGCTTGAACAATGGGTTTGAGTGCATTATTTCCTTTGAAACTGGCACTAGTTGGCTTCACCCTTGTGGCTGTGGTCGCAGCACAAAAATCAAAACCAAACCAGCTGTGATGCCAAGTGCGGGGACGTGACCATCCCATATCCTTTGGCACAAGGGAAGGCTGCTTTTGTGCCAACAAGTCAACTCAATTTAACAAGTGATATGACATCACACAATTAGGTAATAATTTTGCTTATGGTTCACCTAAAACTTAATTTATAATTATAATGTATAAATTTAGGTTCTTCAACAAATAAAGATTAATCAAAATAGCTCTTCAATTTCCAATTGGTAATCATTAAATCAACCCCACATTGTTCAACTA